CATTAATATAATAAATAACTAAGGAAGAATAAACAAGAATGTCAGGTATAAAAAAATGCATGTAACGTTATGATATATAGCCTATAAGATTCTTTAAAATTATGCCTTTTACCGCGCATTGTGTAATTAATATTCAATAATTACCACGAGGGATCACGTAATGTCAAATTTTTCATTGGCATATACAACAATCAATATCCTTCGCGGCTTGCGTTATTCGAACCGTGTAATTAAATCTGAAGCGTGGAGGCTAATTACAATGGCCCTTCGCAAATACGTCGCTCATTACGATTTAGTAATTGTTCCGGCGCGTAATAACGCCGTATCTGTACAGTATTATTATTCGGTAGGGTGTTATTGCCTGAAACGCGTATAACGTAATTACTCTAACGCAATTAGGAGTACCGCACATTGGTCTGCTTCTTGTCTCTGAAAACGGACCATTCTCTCGACACAGAGATTGGATTAACGAATATTTTGGGCTAGGCGTCAAACCGAAAATCGATACTACTATCAACCGCAATTATTAAATTCCACGTATAAATAATAATTACTAATGAAAAGCGAATTAAAATATATAAAACTTTTTTAATAAAAAATACAACTTATAAAACTTTTCTATAAAATTTTTTCCCATATTTTCATACATTGTAAAAATAAATAATATTAACCGGAAATAAATTATTCTAAATTTATATTAAATTGCATTAATGCAATCTCTATGTCTATCTTGAATTTATCTTTGTATGCTGTGTATAATTTAATTCCATATGAATTAAAATCATAATACAATATTATTTCTACATATTATTTCTACATATTACAAAATAAAAGAAATTTTGTGAAATTGAGTTTTACTTTTATTATATCTGGAAAATCCAAAAAAGCATTAGCATATAACATGAGATATAATAAATAAAGAATAATATGTGTATAAAATATATAATTTTCTTTTCAAAAAGACATTTATTTATATCAATATTACAAATACATATATTGTTCTGTATCTCTTCCTGCAGAAATAAAATAAATTAAACATCTATATTAATTCTATTATTAAACAAAAAAGTACATGTCTGAAAATCCGAATCCAGTTTTTGGAGATCTGCACAATTACAAGAACTATTGATATAAATAACTTTACCTGTTTATCATATTTAAAACACATTAATTATATACACATTGTTCATTGCACTGCACAAAGAAAAATAATAAGATTGAAAACAATTCATTTTGGAAATTATTAGTGATTAAAATAAGAAACAGAATACATATATTTTATTTCAAATTCCAAGATCAAAAATATTATTTTTCATTTTTTCAAGAAAAGTTAATTTAATTTTCTTAGTTCCTTTGTTTTTTCTCTTCTCTCTTCTTCGAAATCCTTTTCTTTATATTGTTTTATTTTTACATTTATTTAATTTTTGATAAATTTGACTTTGCAAATTAAAATATTATAAACAAATTATAAAATTTAAACGAGAACAATCAAAAAGAAGTAAATAAAAATAACCTGATTTTATCGCAGCAATTATATCTCACAAGATATTACATGCATATTATAAGGGTATATTACATGCATTCTACAAGGATAGATTTACGGATAATATATTAGATGACGATTATATGAGTATTCCTTTCAGTTTTAAGGTTTCTGGCTTTCTCGATGCTCGGGCGACTCATAACTGTTAGACCGCAAAACTGATACGAGAATACCACCGTTTCCGTTATTGCCAAAACGCAACCCTTCATAAAATATCGTAAGCACACGTGCACGCGAAAGAAAACCGCAAGATGAAACTACATATATTAATTTCTTTATAAAGGAAATGTCGATCGATATTATATAGAACATTCTGAAAATGCGTATTGTTCAAGTTATAAAGAAGAACGTTAGAAAAATGACAACTTTTGCAATATTAAAATATTAATTATTTTATATAGGCAACTAAACCTTATCATATTCTAATCAATAGAATATTTAATTTAGAAAGTCAAAAAAGCTGGTGAAAAGCTGACATATATAAAATTAATTTCAAATTCGTCAAAAGACAATTCTGGAAAGATAGCAAAATTAAACGTTAATAAATAATTTCAAATACACAACTGGCACAGATGGATTCAGGAGAGGTCAAATTATAAATAACCGAATAAAAAATCGTGCAATAGATGCAATAGAATTATAAAATATTTAACAAATACAAATCTGTACTTGTATGATACTACAAAATTGTTCAGCTTACAAAAAACTAGATATTTCAATAAAACGTACAAGTTATGAATGTTATTATATGACTGCGGTTGAAAATTTCTTACTAACAGATAACGAACAACGGAACCATTCGCAAGACAATCCAATTGGACAGACTCAAAAGCGAACAGCGACAGGCAAACACGGGCGATCGGTTATCGAAGCGATTAAATGTATATACCGTCGTGTCTGTCTCTCTATCCCGGCCGTGCAAATATGTGCGGGCAAACTCGGAAGCCGTGCTTCCAACAAGGAAACATCAACTATGTCGACGTGGCCCGCGTGGTGAACGTTCGTATTGCACACCGTGCTCTCGTGGGAAATGCCGTCGATTATATTTGCACCATGGACGCGCAAGGTACGCCGGAGTTTTGGGACGAATGGGGATGGTGGGTCCGTCGTCCTCCTGCCGAACCTGCTGTTTGCACCGGCACTCTAATTAATTATCCGCCGTCTCCGATAATGTAATACGCAGCGTGAGGTGCGCTCCCACACTACGACTATCCGAGATTATGACTGTCGCGACTATCAAGAGTGGAAAACATTTTACAGACTGTGTAACTTCGTAATTCGTAATGAGCCTTGTTCCAAAGAAAATTTTTCGCAACCTTACATTTGCAAATGATGAAAAATATTGTTTTAAAAAGTAATCTCAAATCTAAATACATCAATATCTAAAAGTGAAAATACAAGAATGTGTGTGTGTGTGTGTGTGTGTGTGTGTGGGGGGGGGGACGTTAATTAATCAATAGTATACAAATTGTTCATCGATAAATAAAATTATAGTATACTAGATTTTTTTTCTTCAAATATCTGTAAATTTAATATTTCTTCAAACAGAATATTTGATTAATTAATAAAGATATTTAAATATTTAAAAGTAAAAATTCCATATACACTAAATATGATAAAATATATTTTTCAATCAATTAACAGATTTGTTAGGAAAACTTGGCAGCTGAAGTTTTAAATTTATTGCTGCTGAAAAGACAAAATCGAAAGAAATAAAATTTATTTGACAACTTCTTGTCGTTCTTATTTTCCAACGATAAATGGAACGTGCAAATGAAACGTATGAAAGTTTATATGTTGACGCTCAATCACCGAATGAACAAATACTCCTGAGTAACACGGGAAGTTAATAAAAGAAGTCACGCTGTTCCATTATCAAAGTTAAGAGTTCATAGTCAATCGCTCAAGTATAAATGGATGCAAGCCCTCGCAAAGTCATTCTTATTATGTCAACAGATCAAAGCAGTCATTTATTAAAGTGAGCAATTATTAAATAACAATTTCACTATTTTTCCTTTGTTTCTAACTTTAAATAATACACTTTCCATATAAAATGGAAAATTTTCGGAACTTTGACTCTCATTTTTATTTACTTGACTCTCGTTTTCAAGGGCATCTATATATTATAATCAATTATTCATTGGATATTATATATCCAGTCTAACATATATGATTAATCTTTTAAATCAATTTATTATCAACCAAAGTGACTTTGAATTCGCAAAGTCTAGCGACGTATGTACTCAATAGTTTACTCGGGTATAAAACTAAAGAACTTCTAGAATGAATGGGATGAATATAGATTTGAAGTACGCACTTGGTAATATAGAAGGCTAATAGAAGAAGTCACGCAGTGCTATTGTTAATGGATAATGCTGCAGATGGCTAAAATGATTTCTATCGCACTATACTCGCCGTTCAGTGCTGGTGTACGAAGCCACTTAACACTCTTTTGTACGCTGACTGATATCAGCGTGAATTGCCGATTGATAGCGAATGTGTTTTCTTGCAAAGAACATCGATAGTACTTAATTATATATTGAAGACCGGATCCAATATATCAGAAAGTGCATTATAAATATCTGAAGTGATAAAATATTCCACGTATCCATTATCGGTAAAACATAGAATTCAAATAATGCAGAAGACAGCTAAGTATTTCATAAAATGTATGCGATAATTTTTATCTTAAAAAAAGTTGTAATTACTTTAATATGCCCAAAATATTTTTTTTTAATAAACATGTAACTTTTTACTATTTAAATATGTAGGTTAACAGTTCTTACTGTTTTTTATATTCATTTTATATTACGCAGAAATAATAATTTTATATTACGTAAAAATAAATATTTCTTGATTTACAATATACATTTTAAGTTACTTTGTCAAAATATATATATATTACATTAAGTATTATAGCTATTCTCACATATTTATTTATTTTTATTAGTATAATATGTTAGAGCATTCTACGAAATTACATATAAATAGCATGCACAAAAGTAGGAAACATGCGAAGAGTCTTTATTATTTCAATAATTTTACAGAGATATTTCCTCCATCGTACTTTTCATAAAATTATAAAATTATAAAATTATAAAATTATAAATGAAAAATCATATATATTTTATATATAAAAGTACATTTTTTTATTTAAGATTAAATTTTATTTCTTTAATATTCTTTTTAAAGATATTTTTAATGTTAGCAATGAACATTCATACCATGAATCTCTTACTTTTTGTAATTATAAGATTAAAACCTCATTTTTAACATACCTTTAATATAAGTTCAAAGATAAAGAGGACTTATAGTAAAATGTGATCTCAAATTCCTTTATATGCTTAACTACCTATAACAAAATAAATCACAATCAATTATAAATAATAATATTAATGAAAATACATATCTGTGAATTGAAAGAGAAAGAAAGGAAAAAAAAAGAAATATACAAGTATTTTATAACCTACATACTTTTCATTATAAAGATATACAATCATAGCGATGCTTTCTATAACGTTGAACACCAGACTGTTTTTAAATACTTATGACAGACTTCACAAATATTAAATAATGGGTATTATATAATTTCCGTGGAAAATAAGTCTCGAGGATCGATAGATATGCTTTTTTATGCAATAATTCAGATCAGAATAAAACTTTATTGCTTATATAAAATATATCATTATTGTTCTGGTAAGATATCAACAAATATGTGAATATGTTAAAATTCACCAGTCACTTCAAAAACATCTCTATTATTTTGAGCCACTTTATGCATCAACAATAACATACTTATACATATTTATACAAATTCTATTTATAACATTTAGGAATGATTTTTATAATTGATTGCCAAGTAAAAAATAAAATTCTTCACGTAATACTCGTCACAGAAGATTACGAGATGTATTTGTTACTAAAATATCTAGAATTTATTTACAATGAATCATAACTTTAATAGCTCCTCCCGCTCCAGTTCTAGTGGTTTCGAATGCTTGTTTAATCTCCTCCATTTTGTAATTATGAGTAATCAACGGCTTCACGTTTACTCTGCCAGATGCGATGAGAGCCAATGCATCACTATAGCTAAGAATAAAAAAAACACATAAAATAAACTTTTATTAAATATAGCGTTTAAATAATTCATACGAATCTGAAAATTATGTAAGAATATAGAATCACAGAGCGCAATTTTGTCAGAATTATAGCTTTTCATAATACTTTATACTATATAATACTATTTTTCATAATACTTTAATACTTTAATACTTTAAGTTTAATATGGTAATATTTTATTTGTTTAATTTGGCATTGAGTCGTCAATATTATTATTTTTCCTGTTTAACATGCGACTATTAATTAATTGAAACTTACTCATTTACATATCGGAAAACACCTCGGATGTCGACTTCTCTGACCAAAGCATTTATTAACGGAACTTGCACCTCTGGAGGACCCATTCCAACTAATACTACAACTCCACCAGATTTTGTCGCCTGATGTAATATATATAGATGCAGTTTACAATATTTTAAAAATACGTACTATTTTATTTTTTTTATTAAATTCTTGAATTAATGAGAAGATTAAAATGCGAAACAAATTTCATTTAAAATTTTCATTTTCGTAAAAATAAAATCAATTATTTTTATATCTTCAAAGGTTATCTTCATATGATATGATAATTATTTTTTAGATATACAGCCGATTTATCTTAAATAAAAAATAAAATATATTTTGACTTACAAGAATTGCTAAACGAATCGAAGCTTGTGCACCGGAAGCGTCTATCGTCTTGTTAGGTTCATCCCCAAAAATTGCATGAATGTCAGCCACCATATCCTTCTCCGATCTATCCTTTTGCACCAAATATGTGTCGTCGGCGCCAAGTTTCTTCGCTATATTTAGTTTACATTCCATAATATCTATAAACATAAATCGCGCCTACTTACATCTCATTTACAAGTTCTATAGGCTTGCATTTAGAATTCTTCGAAGAAGGAATTGTGCTACTTGTAAAACACATTGTGCTATGCTACAAAGAAGACGGACATATGTATTAAGGAAAAAATGACTACTTTAAAAAGGTAGTTCTAGTGCTTTTAATACGCAATTCGAATTTGCAATAGAAAAATGACACACGATATATTGTGACTGCATGACCTCGAGAATACATGTTCTTGTTCCACAAGTAGCATCTAAATGTCATGCTAAATGCAGTCTCGGCAGCGTATCTTGCGATCAATTGCAACACCGTTATTATTCCATATTTCGCATGGATGTTTTCTTCTCTTTTACAACTACGTAAATTGGAAATTACACAACTTGATAAACATTTATCGCTTCACAAACAGCAATGTATCCGCGTTAAAAATTCTGTTATCGCGACGAATATAATCGCTGCAAGATTTTCCATAGAGCACCAATATATCGCTCTGTATCACAAGTTTTCTTTATTTTGATAAGAAATTTAAAATTCAATACTAAAGATACTGCAAACGTAAACATAAAGTAAAAACATAATAATTAGTAAAATATAGAAAATTTAAGTATATGACTTAATGTCGATACTGCAATTAGTTTCTAGAGATGATATATTTTTTTAATTTCATCCTTAAATATTATTTGTCAATACATTTTCTCATGCTTTTTAATTATGTTATTTAAACGTAATAAAAAGCAAAGAAAATTGTTAAAATATGTATTTGAATACATTTATTTCAATATCTTTAAATTTTATCCTTTAAGTATATAAATATATACCCGTGATGACTACTTTGTTCGCGCCCATGGCTTTGGCTACTAGCAACGTCACCAAACCGATCGGTCCAGCTCCCAGAATTAATACTTTAGAATTGATACCGACCCCGCCCCGTTTGCAAGCGTGTACTCCTACTGACAATGGCTCTAAAAGCGCTCCTTCCTCTAAACTCACGTGATCGGGTAACCTGTTAAAAAAAATCATAAATACAAAAATTAATTTTCTTTTTATCTGTTTACATTATGTCAAATTATCCTATTGTTTTTAGAAAACGTTACCTAATTGCATTTATATGACTATTTATTTTATGATAAAAAATTAATTAGCTCACTTGAAGCAGAAATCAGCTGCGTGTTTATAAAAGCGTCTTAAATTGCCGTGTACAGGCGGAGTTGCACAAAATACTATATCCTTGCACAGATTATAACGTCCCTCTTTGCAGAACACGCACATCTTGCAGGGTACACCAGGTTCGATGGCAACACGATCGCCGATCTATATTAAAAATAAAAAATGCGCATCATATATTTCATAGAACAAACTCTTCAATATATTAATTATATTAAATTCAGAAGAGGAAGCAGTTAAATAAATAAATAAATTTAATTAATTAATTAATAATATTAATTAATATAAATTATATAAAAATTTTATATAAAGTATAAACACCTTTAAGTTCTTGACATTATTTCCAAGCTTGATAACGGTACCAGAAGCCTCATGACCGACAATCATGGGTTTTTTCACTATGAAATCGCCGATTCTGCCATTAACAAAATAATGAATTTCCGACCCACAAATTCCTACGCATCCCATTTCCAAGAGTACCTCTAAAAAAATATAAATAACATAATTGACTTATGAAAATATAAAAAAATATTGTGTGCAAAAATATAGTTTCTTTTCTATTCAAATTCTATTCAAAGGAGTGAATGTGTTACAAAAAAAAAATTCAAATTCCTTATCACAATGAACTTCTGATTTCAAAATAAACTTTTATTGTTTTTTTTCTCATTTTTTGTAATAATAGTAAAATTTCTTTTGTCAAAAGATAAAAGCTATTTAAAACTCAAGATAAGTGCTCTTATCTTGAGTTTTAAAACTAATTAAGCTAATAAACTAATTAAAACTAATTAAAACTAATTAAACTAATAAAGATTCAAATATACGCGCGAGGATTTAACAGCTTTAAATTGAAATTAATCTTCTTAATATATCACTATATATCTGGAACAGCATTGCATATCGCTTCGACAAGCGTCATCGCACATATTAATAGCACTCAATGTAAATTAATTCATACCAAAGTGTTATGCAATCGAACAAAATAAGTATCCTTCTTTAGTAATTCAAATATAGACTAGGCTTTTGTGTGATCTTTTTCTTTAATAAAATTAATGTTACTAACAAACCTTGACTAATTTACTAATATGTTTTATAAAAATAATATCATTATTATCAATTATATGTTTCCTAGTAATGTATTCCTTTTCTTCAAAAATATATTAATGAAATGTCTTTGCATGTATTTCTTATCATACTAATGAAAAAAGCTAATAAATATAAAAGCTGTCTTACCATTATCTCCAGGTTCCTCGATACTTGTATTTTCCTAAAGCAAAAAATTATCTAAATTTACGTCATAGAAATATATTTCAGAGAAATATATTTATATAGCATGATAAAAAGTATCATATGCAATAACAATAAAACAATAACAATAAAAATAAAATAAATAATATATAACAAATAAAATAAATATATAACAATAAAAATTTGGCATTCTATTAATATATAATAGAATTTTCAAATCATCGATATTGAATTCTTTAATAATTTAATATTGATTTAAAATGTATATTTTCTTTTATCTTGGTAAAATTATCCAACAAATCAAACCATATAAGAATTAATATATTAAAATAAATTCTATAAATTCTATTTTGCATATATTCAATATTTGATTTATTTTATTTTTATAAAATATGCCATTATGAGAGATTAAAGAAACATTATTAAAGGAAAAAAAATCAATTTAAAAATTAATTACAGTTAACTATGTATGGCAAATAAAGTGTGTTAAAAAAAGATGGAAATTAGAAATAATTTTTTTAGTTTCAAACTTTACATTTACTTTTGTAGAATATAGATATCAAATAGTAAAAAGAGAAATGAAAATCTTGCTTAATGCGGATCGAACGATGTAAATTTAAAGGTCAATCCGTTATGAAGAACCACGTGCAATCGATTTGCAAGACGGTTGCAAGTCTTGTACGCGTAGTTAGAATCAACATGATTGTAAAAAATGATCCAGTTAAATCCAGATCTTAAAATGTGATCTAAAAGTGTCACTCATAATCTTATTATATTGCTTTAAATAAAGAATAAAAAGAATTGCTTATAACTTCTACCTTTTTAGATGTGCGGACTATAGAATTTAAAAATAAAAGACTAGATATGATTTTCTTTCACTTACTATGCTACATTATTAATATATAGAAAATGACAAATTAAAAGAGAAATAAAAAGTTACTTTTTTAAATTGTAAATTTTTTATTTTCAAAATATAAGGGTTTTTAAGAAAAATATGAAGAATTGTCATCATGCTTTTGCTTAACATCATCTTTGTGCTTAATTAAAATAGAATTTAAAAAAAAGATATTAAAAGAATTTAACTAATCCATCAATTTCTAATTTTCGAAATTCGATATTTCATCATAAAAAAATCAAAGAAAAGTATAAATTGAAGTTGAATACAAATTTGTTAATTAACAAATTCTTTTTCTCTTTTCACCTTAAAATTTTTACAAAAACATATGTATATATATTAAAAATATTTAAAACATTAAATTATATACAATTGTAATAAAAAAAAACATAATGAAGTACAGTACATTTTAATAATTTATGAATTAATTAAGTATAAAAATATCAACTTACATAAATCACAATTAAACTAATGATTTGAAACAAATAAACAAGTATAATATCAATCTTAGTAATTCAAAGAGCAAATGTAAAAGATTAAATGTAAATGTATAATTTAATATTACTTTAGAATTATTTCGATAATTATTATTACTGCGGTCAGTTAATATAAATAAAACAGATAAAAGAGGCATTGAAAAATTACTTAATCACTTTCATTACTTATAAAAAGATTGATAAAAAAAAGATTAATTTTTTTTAGACACAATTTTCCTGTATTAAATAAAATAATCGCGTACACAAAATTGCAGAAAAAAATGAAAAGAAAAATGTAAATTTAAAAAAATATTATTATAGGAGAGTTGTTAAAGAAAAATATTCTACAAATATTTTATACTTTATACCATGTAAAATATGGAATAGAACAAAACAAAAATTTATTTACTTCCCAACTAGAATTAGAAAAGACTTTCGTTCATACATTAAATTACAAAAAAGAAAAAAACATACATACAATGTATAAAATATTTGTAGCATATATAATTTAAAACATACCTTTTTAGATTATTCAAGCATAAGTAAATAATATAAAGTTATAAATTTAACTCAATATAATTAAGTAAAGATAAATATCACTATATATTTTTATAATATAACTTGTAATATTATAAAAGTTATAACATAAATGCCAACCAAATATGTAAAACAGAGATAATTACATTCTTTATTTTTATATCAATTAATAAAGTATAATTTATTAATACATTCTGAGAGTTTTGCTTGATCTTTTCATGGTCTGTTAAGCATGAATTAGGTCAAAAACGTTTAAACAAAACAAAATAATAAGAGTGATACATTCGATTCGAAACATGAGCAAGCGCAGCCGTAAAAATTCATCATGTTTCCGCATTGTGTACTAACCAGGCGTAAGTCATTGATGCCATACAGTACAGCGGTAAGATTGTCCTTGGCCATGATTTTCCTACAGAAATTCAAAACTGATAAGAGTCTTCAGCAGTGATTTGAGCCTGCGTCAAGTCGCTTTCGGATATTTCGATAAACACAGAACACGGACGGGACGGGACTCGGCGTTCAAGAGAGAATTCGCTGCTATATATACACGCGCCGCGATTATACGTATGTACTTGGAGCTATCACCGTGGCCTTATTATCGCTAGACCATTTTCTCCACCATCACCATCTTCATCACCACCAATACCATCAACGAACAGCTTTCATGGCTCGAATTTATTGAACAGTCCAACTTGTTCATATTTCGCAATCGCACTATCAACCATTGCGTAATACCGTCGCAGAAATACGCTGCATTGTCGGAACCAAGTAAAATCGATTTATATCGTATATGCAATCCCACTTTTCCTTCCTGCTATTAATCGGTCTTATGTCCGTAGGTCACATGCACATCGTGAAGCAAAGTAATGTAATGTGTGAAAGTTGAGACAAAACAAATAGATAAAGCAAATATACCAGTTCTTTTATGGAGAAATTGTCCTTTTGTACTTATGCACTTAGATCTGTCGTTTCTTGGGATCGATAAATGTTTAAATTTTCTTCAGAGGAGACATCTAACATGTTACCTATATTTAGAAGAAATTTGTCACAAAATTTTTCTAATTGGCTCAACGTTTAAGAGAAGGGATTTTTAGAAGAGAAGGGAAGTTAGGCTTTCTCATTGGTAGAAATTAGAAGAGAAATTTAGGAAAGTCAGAAAATTTGAATCTGCGTGACATATGGTCTACAGATGTCACACTTTGAAAAAATCTGAACTTAATAAAAAGTTTATTTGGAATCTGAGAATTTTAAGATGCATGGAAAATTTAGAATCTGAAACTATGTTGGTGGTTTAGAACAATCTATTAATTTAGTGTAACACGCAAAAAATTCATTATTAATATTCAATTATATTACGATTAATATTCAAAATGGAATTATTCATTAATAATACAAAGACATTATATATGTTTGGATCAAGTTTGCATATACATGTAATACAAATACTCCAGATATTCAGATATCAAAATGTAAGTAAATCAGTATATAATAAGCAAACTAATATTATTTCATTTTAGTTTACTTATATTTTGATATCTGAATATCTTGAGTATTTATTCTGAAATTATATAATAGTTGTTATGTAATTATAAATATTATTAAACTATACAATTAAAGCAAAATTAAAAAATAAATTAATGTTCAATTTTTGAGATAAAACTAAATCTAAATCTTTTTCTTTCTTGCTCTCTTTTGGCAATTTTCTAATTATGCATAGATATAAACGGTATATTTTTAGTTCATCTTTCCTACAATAAGATAAGAGATATCTCAGTTCTAAAAACGCGTCTCTTGAATCTATCTTATCTTTACTAAAATTTCATAAGATCAGAATAATAAACAACGTAATATCCAAGATTGTTTGCATCGTGTTGTTACGCGACTTATATGTAACAACACAATACAATAAAAATGATGTATAAATAATGAAAATATAATATTAGAAAGAAATCATTATATTCATGCATACATGTATCATGTAACAAACTAATAACAAAAGTACTTCGTTAATTGTTATATATGCAATAAATGACTTACAATAAATAACTTTTGTACTTTATTCCCAACCCCATATTCCTGTCGATTCTTTAATTGTAGCCCTATTATCTCTTCGTATTCTCGTCACTGCACTCGCTTCTCCTTTCACAAGAATTCTCTTTGATTGATTCTTTTCACGTTTGTCAAGTGCTAATTTTGTTCGTCTTTTTATTACATCTGGTGCGATTGTAGCAGCTGTTGAAGTACTACGTATACTTCGTGTATCATCATAAGTATGCACTGTTTTGTTTTCTATATTTAATGATAAATCATGCGGCGTAAAGTCACTGTTCCTATGTTCCTTATTGATCATTACATCTTCCATTGTTATATTTTCTTTGCTTTGTTTATAATCATTTTCCATTTTACTTTGTTTCTCAGAACATATTTTATTAAAATGTTCATTATTTAATGCTGTTTCTCTTGTTGCAACATCAAATTTTTCTTTTGCAACAATTTCATCTTGAAGTCGTAAGTCATTCAATTGATATTGCAAATCTTCATCATCAACATTATCAATACAATCTTCATACAATTCGTCTTCATCATCCTTATTTTCTTTTTCTTCTTCTTTTTCTTCTTCATCTTCAAAATCAATTTCAGTTAAAAAAGTATTAAATTCTTTTTCTATTTGTCTTACAAAGCCACTAGCTTTGACTTCAGTATCTATACAATCTTCACGTCTAATATAGATAAAATATTAACTTGTTAGTTCAATAAAAATATATAATAATGAACAGATAATAAAAGAGAATTTTTTTTCTGTTACTTACAATACATCTTGAAAAGTTGGATATAGTTCACTCTCATATCCAAAACGTCTTTTAAAAAAATCACGAATACAATTCACATCTCTTTCAAAATAAGCTTCTGCATTCTCATGCTCTGTAGAAACCATCTGTGGAAAATCAATGATAACAGGCTTGCCATCCTCTTTAATCATTATGTTAAACTCATTAAAATCTCCATGTATAACACCATGATTTGCCAATCTAACAATCAAATCCATGAGCTCATCATACAATGCTTCCACATTGTTTACTTCATTTACATTACATCTGCAAAACAATATGTATAATTAAACAATATCCAATTAATTCGATTAATAATTAACAAGAATATAATTCACATACAGAGGTCCACCTTCAACCAGCTCCATAACAACACAATGCCTGTTAAAGTCAATTGGTTTTGGCACAGGGAAACCTCTATCCAAAAGTGCTTTCATATATGCAAACTCTCTGGTCGCCGAAATTCTTGACAAGTATAACCAAGATGCGGAATGCCTATGTTGATGATAATCCCTTTTTCCTTTAATATTTCGGAAGCACGTTCTACCTAGTCTATGTAATTTCAGGCAAAGTGGAATCTCTTCCTCATTGGCAACAATATAAATGTTAGATTCTTTCCCAACACCAATTTGATTACCAAAAGAACAGATCGTTGCCCTTTGAGTTAAAACTTTTAAAGCTAAGTAATCATAACCAGTGTTTGTCAAACGATAACCATCATCTAAAAATTTATTAAGATGTTATTAGATATGTTTTAAACCTATACTTAACAGAATTTATCCATATCTTATATGCCTTACATCGCTTGCCACGTTCATAACTAAGCAATCTATGCTTGCACAATTCTTTCAACAATTTATGAACTCCACCGTAACGTAGATTTGCTATTTGTGCAGCAAGTGTGGCAGGTACGAGTTCATGATTCTTCATACCCATTTCAATCTAAAATATAAAAAAACGAACAAATTATTATAATTTACACAAAGAAAAATAATATAACACATGTATTTCATAAATTTATTTAAGAACTTGTAAATTCATAAAAGAAGAGCATAGCTTTACAAATTATGTGTATAGGTTAAAAAATATATACCGCTGTTAAAACACGAAAATCTTCTGGGGTTAAATACCGCAGCATCTTAACGTCCAACTTTCCCATGTTTATTGAATTACAAATAAATGTATGGATAATTTATATAATGTAAAATCAGACGATTTTCACTCAAAAATATCAAATTTCACAATTCAATTCATTTGCCGTAATCACCACAAACATGGAATTAAACCAGAGGAAATAAAGTATCAAGTTAGGACCGTTGCACACAAAATGCATAGAATATGACAGCTACATATGCATAGTGTAAGACCATTTGGACCAATGAACTTCCAACATGAAGTCGCCATATTGATTTATAATACGCTCATTGGTCCAGACAATCTTATATTGTATATGCAGCTATGACTGTGTTCTGATATTCACTGCCAGTACTGAAAATCTATAATATACGTGACCTGAATTATATATTTACAGGCAGTAAATATCGGAACGCAGTCTATGTCATTTTGCGTGCGATTGCAATGCTCATATCAAATTAAAGAGATTGAAATTTGAAAAAAATTGAAAGTTCATTAAATTTGAGATCTTATGTTTGACACACAGTCCATTCAATTTTAGTGCTAGGATAACCACGCAAAAAATCAACTGTTTGACAGACGTTCGAAAGAGTCGATCGGTCACCCCTTCTTGTGATAGTTCGGGTGAGGAGTTCGGGCAAGGGCAGGCGAGGGCGTTCACAAAAAGGAGAGTGCAAATCAGTGGCGTCAATCACTGCTCGAACTTTCGAGCTCTCGATCATACGGTGGTGAAGGAGGTAGTGGTAGTAGTGAGCTTAACGGTTGGTGGTATGTGTGCATCAAAATTATGAAAATTCGTTCGCGCGCCGATTCGACAAGTCGCTGAATCCACCTAATCGTCGTCGCGGGCAATGAGCAGAGTTCACGGCGCGTTCACAATCATTACGCACGTCTGAAAATTCATCAGGTACATAAATACATTTGTTGCTTCACGCATTCCTCGCGTACGCGATACAAATACGATTGTTCAGTCGACATTGGACAAGAGGTCCATTTATAACCCTATTCGAGTATTCACGCGGCGTTCGTTTAAAGCCAACGATCGCCTGATATGTCGAACGTATCGCCGTTTGCTCGCAAATCATTTGTTTGCGAGTTTGCGATAAAAGTGATTTCGATAAGATTATACGCAGTTAAACAAAGTCGCGTTATCGCGCCGACATAGATTGAACAAGGACGCGTTCGCGGCCCGACCGTTCATCCGTTCGCGGAAGCTGATAAAATTCCATAAAGGTTCGAAACGGAAATTGTAACGCTCGCACAATTGCAATAATGCAGTAGCAGTGACATTTGAACCTCGCGATCGGAGTTTTAAGTCATGATTACGAGGAAAAGTTTCCGTGTTTATCCGTATTTATTATATGAAAACTCAGTGTTTCTTCACGCGCGTCACGCTTCAATTATTAGCTCGCTATCTCTCCAGAGAATTCTGAGTCATCGCGTGTAAACTAATTTTAATTTTATAATTCCTTGAGTCACGAGTTTCTGTTCAATTGATCCGATTGTGACATATACGTAGCGTATGTAGGCGAGGTTGATTAGCTGTTTATATATATATATATATATATATATATATATATACGTATAACTA